TGCACTGAGTACAGCTCTGGGAGTTCATCAGCACGTGTATTAGCTGATGCTCAACATACAAGATAAGTGAAAGTTAAATAAAAATAACAATTTTCCCCCTCCCTTCAAGCAAAGCATGCAGTAGAGATTGATTATAAAGCTAAAAGTTTACTCTTGCAGTATATCTTAAATTTTTTAGCAGGTCTTCTTAGAAGTTCTGGTTTTGGTGCTTTCTCAAGAAGAAATGTAGTTTGTGAGTGTAACTGTGAGGTGATTAGTCATTATAATGTGACTCTCTCTCTCTTTTTGTTTTAATGTGAGGAATTGCAGTTCCAGTGTCCAGGTCTCCTGTGTCATTATTCTTCCTGTGCTGGGAGAAGTCTTGTGGCTGAGCACAGCAGGGCTTGTGTGGGTTGAAGTAATTGATAACTTTCTATGTTTCTTTGTTCAGAGATTTGCCAAAGCTCTGTCTGAAGCTGTTATTTCCCTTAATTTGCCTGTGGAAGTCTTTAACATGGAAGACTGTGATCCAGAGGATTGTTTGTCAGAGGAGGTGAGTATGGCATAAAAGTGAGTAATAAGTACAGGTTTTTTCCTGGGGTTGTCTTTTCCTCTTGTATTTCTCTCCTGTTATCCTGGAAATCCCCAAAACGTTGTGTTGAAAATTGCCTCCCTGTTATATATGCAAGTGTAACCCATCATTCCTTGGCAAAAAATACCTAAATTTGGAACATTTCAGAGCAGCAATAGGATGTTTTGTTGTGACAGTCACTCTGTATGGTCCCCTTCTGTGCTCAGGGGTGAGCTGGGTGACAGTGGCTGCACCAGGTGCTGTATACACGTGGGCTAGGGTCAGAACCAGAACAGGAAGTGCTGATGCTTCTGCAGGCTTTAGAGGCCTTTGAAGTTGGAAACTCCTTGTGACGTGTATTTATATTGAATAACCCTTGATGGGTTTTTCTTCAGTGAATATTGATAGTTGCTACTTGAGTGTTTAATTAATCCTAGCAAAATGTTTTGGTGGGAACTGTGTGCTGGAAATTCCTTAGGGTTTCAGTATGGATTGTCAGCATTTGATACTGCACCTAATAAACCTGCAAATGTGGGGTTGAAGAGTTTGAAATCCTTATCCATGGGGTACTTTATTGATGAAGGAGTCTGGTCAGGAAGCTGCTGCATGGGCTGGATGTCCAGTTCTGCTCTGCCACCACATCCAGCTTCATCTCTCTCTCTGCTAATGTAAGGTGCTCTGCACCCTTGGGATTATCACCTGCACCATCCCACCGCGATGGGGGACAGCCTTGCCTTTTGACTTTTCCCAGCTGCTTGGTTGTTGTGACTCTTAGCTTGAAAAGAAGGTTCTGGAAAATGCAGTGATTTTTTTTTTCTCTCTCCTGTCCTGTTTGTGTGACCAGACAAGCAGCAGGAACATCTGTGTGTTCCTGGTGGCCACGTACACCGAGGGGCAGCCACCAGAAAGTGCAGCCTGGTTCTGCAAGTGGCTGGAGGAAGCAGCCAACGATTTCCGCGTTGGGAAAAGCTTCCTGCAGGGCCTGAGATACGCCGTGTTTGGCTTGGGAAACTCAGCCTATGTGGATCATTACAACACAGTGAGTGTCCCCCAAGCTCCCTGCTTGGTTTCTGCTGCTCTGGGAGCCTCAGTTGCATGAAATGCTTCCAGTCTGGGTGGTGCTGGTGGACTATGTGGGAATTGCAGCTGTTGTACTGCCTGAGTGAGGGACTGGGTTTAGGGCATGGGTAAAATCCCAGAGCCACTGAGGTTGGAAAAAGCGTCTAAGATGATTGAATCCAATCTGTGGCCTGATCCCCACCTTGTTACCAGCCCAGAGCACTGAGTGCCACATCCAGGTCTTTCTTGGACGCTTCCCGGGATGGGGGCTTCAAACCTCCCTGGGCAGCCCCTGCCACTCCTTGACAGTGCTTTCCATGAAGAAATTTTTCCCAGTATCCCCCCTGCCCCTGCCCTGGCCCATCCTGAGGCCATTCCCTCTCCTCCTGTCCCTGTTCCCTGGGAGCAGAGCCCGACCCCCCCGGCTGCCTCCTCCTGTCAGGGAGTTGTGCAGAGCCACAAGGTCCCCCCGGAGCTTCCTTTGCTCCAGGCTGAGCCCTTTTCCCCACTCCCTCAGCTGCTCCTGGGGCTCCAGCCCCTTCCCCAGCTCCATTCCCTTCCCTGGACACGCCCCAACCCCTTCAAGTCTGTATTGTCCTGAGGGGCCCAAATCTGTCCCCAGGACTGGAGGTGTCCCAGCAGTGTCTGGTGCCGAGGGACAGTTCCTGCCCTGGTGCTGCTGCCACACCATTGCTGGTTCAAGCCAGTGCCATTGGCCTTCTTGGCCACCTGGCAGTTCAGCTTTGAAGCAATTGGATTTTAAATGGGAGATGAGTCCCACAAGCACTGGGAGGTGTGGTAACAGATTTGGTAAATCCTTACTGAGTTCATTTCCCAGCTTTGAAAGCTTTGTGCAGTCATCTGCGGGCACAACACTGTGAACCCTCTTGCCTGCTGCCTTTTAGTTTAAAGGCTTTTTAAAAGGTGGCTTGGTTTTCTCATGTGGCTTTTAGCTTTTTTCCCTGGTGTAAACTGTGACAGCATCTCTGCCTGGTCATTGGTCTAATCTCACACAGAAATGGCATTACTTGTCACCAGGTTGTGTTTACAGCTGGGGCTGTGTGTTACACAGGTGACTGTTTTGACCCACAATCATCACACAGAGCTTGTTCCCAGAGCCCCTCCCTTCCCACCAGGGATGGCAGAGAGATTTTCCAGCAGAGCCTGAGGGTGTGTGGTGGTGATCACGCTGTGTCTGTGCTGAGCCAGCACATGAGAGGGACTGCCCAGGTGCCTGCCCTGCAGTGCCATGCAGCTCCGTAGCTCTGTTCCCAGGCTGATCCTTGTTTCTCTGGTTGTCTGCTTGAACTTAGCCTTGGTTCAATTCCCTTTCCACACTTTCCTCCTGCCCTAGGTTGGAAGGAGGGTTGACAGGTGGCTGTGGATGCTCAGTGCCAGCAGGATCATGACTCGAGCTGAGGGGGACTGCAACGTGGCCCAGAGCAAGCATGGCAGCATCGAGGCTGACTTTGAGGCCTGGAAAACCAAATTCCTCACTCGGCTGCAGGCGCTCTGCAGGGGGGAAAAGAAGCCCTGCAGTGGGAAATGCAAGAAAGGGAAGTGCAAATCTTCGGGGAAGCAGAGCAAGGAAAGCTCAGATCATGAACATGGGATGTCAGAAAATGAGAATACTGAGGTACAGCTAAAATCCATCAAGCTTTTTTTTTTTTTTTTATTTGGAGCCCTGTTTGACTTCTTCCTCCTTCAGTCTAGTGGGCTGCTGTAGGAGCCTGATACTTGTTCTGGAGCACAGGGAGGAGTGAGATCCCATGGCAGTAACAAGTAGAATAAGCCATTCAAAAGAAGGGCCAAAGGATTAATGATGGATGCAGGCCTGATGGCATTTGTGTGGTGAGGGAGTCTTGCTCTTGGCTGGGGGAGGTACCAGATGCTCCAGGGAGCCAGGCTGGGTTCTCAGCAGGGCTTTTGCCTTCTCCTGAGGCCAATGGAGCCATTTAGTTCCCTGTGAATTGTTGACATGCTTCTTCTTCAACCTGGTGAAGCTCAGCTGCTCTGCCCCCATCCCGAGGTTTTCCAAAGGCAGCAGGGGAGTGTTGTCTGAGCAAGCCCAGTGTGTCCTTTGTGTGTGCCTGCCTGTAATAGTTTCTCTCTTCTGGAGTATTGATTGCAGGTCTTGACTAAGAAATCTTCTCTACTGCTCTCCAGTGCAAGACCCAGAGTTGCTATGGCACTTTAATCCTCTCTCAAGCCTTTTATTGTGGGTTGGAAATTACTGCTGGGTTGAATTTTGTAGGAAAGTAAGTGGTTCTTCTGGCAGGGCTTGGGGGTGCTGGCTGCTGCAGGGGCAATAAATCTGGCTGTCAGCAAGGCACTTGGAGAGTTTAAAGGGGTTCAGGGTTCCATATCCATCCTACAGGTTTTGGTAGGCTATTCCTTGTTTTCAGTGGTCTTTACTGCTGAGGAGAGCTCATTTCAGATGAAGGTCTTATGTTTAATAGTGAGATAAATCCTTCATTTTTTCTCTGCTCTCTCCCACAGGCAGAGGAATTGTTTGAAACCAGTAGTGAGGAGGAAGCTGAAGGCACAAATTCTGTCATCGATGTTGAAGATCTTGGCAATATCATGGGCCACATGAAGAAAGAAAAGGTACTGCTGTTAGAGGGGTTGTGGAATGGTCAGGTCTTGGTCACTGAGTTCTTGGATTGATAAAAATGTTACTGGCTGGATTTGAATCTGTAGGGGTTGGTTAGGAGAGCAAAATAGGAGCTATTGAAGAACCTGTCCCAAAAAAAGAACAGCTTTGGAGGTGTGTTGGTGTAATCACAAACTGACTCCGACTTGCTCACTATGATTGCCAGTCTGAGGGAAGATTGACTGGCAGAGTTGGATCTGGCTGTGAATTTCTGCTACTGACATTCCCAGCACAGTCCCTAAGCACAGTTCCCGTTCCTGTGCTGCCTGTTGCTTTGTCACTGGAATACAGGTGCAGGAGGAACATCCAGCTGGCAGAGCACCTTTGCCTTGCTCACTGCTGCCCTAGGAGGGCTGTGCTCTGGCTGCTGACCCCCTTCTCTCTGAGTGACCTTTCCATGGTGCTGTCATTCCCTGGGCACCCTTGAGCTGCTGTCCAGCTCTCACACCCTCTCACCACACTGACTTCTCTCTCTAATACAGCTCTCTTTTCTTGGGTGCCTCTGCTCTGTGGGCTTCTCACTGCTCTTCCCCGGAATGAGGCCCTGGCAGAGGGTGCCCTTGAGAAGCTGTGGCTGCCCCTGGATCCTTGGCAGTGTCCAAGGCCAGGTTGGACAGGGCTTGGAGCGGCCTGGGACAGTGGGAGGTGTCCCTGCTCATGGAAGGGATGTGGAATGAGAGAATCTCTAAGGTCTCTGTCAATCCCAACTGCTCTGTGACTCTGTGAAAACAGAACAGTGTCCTCACGGTTCTGAGCTGGGATGTCACTGCTGGGTCCCCTGAAGCCAGGCCATGGCCCACAGGAGGCTGTGCTTGAGAGGGCAAGAGCTTGCAAGGGCAGCGTAGGGATCTCTGTTCCTCTCCTTATAAATCAAACATTGCTGTTTGTAACCAACTCTTTGAGCAGAGCAGCCCCAGTGATGGGCACGAGTCTGGCTGCTGTGAGAGGGCTCTGTCCGGGAGTTGCTGTGGTTTTGGACCCTGCAGCTTGTGAGGGGGGAGCCTTTTGGCTTCCCTTTGGAGGGAGAAAGGACCACAGCTCCTCGTGGAAAACATTATTCCTATCGTCTCTCTCCTGCGCAGCCGCTAGAGGTCAGCGGCCAAAAAGGGAACCGCGTGTGCTGCAGCGGCTGCTCCTGGGCGCTTCAGCCCTGCCGGCCGACGTGACAGCCAGCGGTTTTGTGAAGAATTGGACACTGAGTTTTCACTGACTGACAGAAAGTGGCAACACCAATGAGGAGCAGTGTAGTCCAGGAAAACCACATATCACAGTTTACAAATAAAAAGTGAGCACAGCAATAAAAGACTTGCTGCTTTCAGTGGAAGAAGTCAGTGTGGTGTGGGTTTATACACAGGCAGGGAAAGTTCACTGCGGTCTGTGCCCTGGGCTGAGGCAGGATCCAAACTGCTTTCTCCTCAGCCATCCTGCTGTTGGATGTATTTGGGTTCTGCAGTCTCTTGTGTCTGTGTGGATCAAGTTCCTTTGGCTGTGACCCAAGTGCCACCCCCGATCAGAGGGGCAGCCTCTGTCTGGGCACAGACCTTCACCTGGAGCTGGAACCTGCAGGTGTTGGTCCTCTGAGCCTTGGAGAGGCTGGCACGGTTGTTCTGCTCTGGAACCTGAATGTTGTCCTCTTGCAAATGATTAAATCCTGAGAGGGCGGGTATTGGTGTGGGCTGGAGAGTTCACTCTGGGTGCACATGAATTTCACCTGCATTGCAGTCCCATCCTCTTTCTAGGCTCTGAGTGTGTGCAGGGGGAAGTTTCCTGTGCCAGGTTAGTTGCTCTCCCTGTGGCCATTTTAGCCATTTTCCCTCTCATGGGATGCTGGACTGTATAAAATGAGTGTGATGCTGTTCTTTTACACTGGGGTAGCCTGTTGGCCTGCAGGAATCCGTGCCCACACAGCTGAGTGCTTTGGGATCTGAGCTGGTCACACACAGGTGAGCAAGTCTGAGAAAAGCTTGTGCATCTTAAGGGTTGTGTCACAGACAGTTTTTCATCCTCGGGGTTCCTTGGATGTGGAATGTGCCTGACACTTCCAGCAGGAGTTTTCTGGGTGTCAGTGTTGGGTGTTCACCCCTCTGGATATGGGAGTGGAACAGCAGGTTCTAACCTTGTGCATTACAGTTAATTTGAAATGATTTTGGGGCCAGCTTTGATCTCTTCTGCATGAATTGCCTCTTGTGAGATTCACTAGAATCTGTGCAGACACAGACAGAATTCCCTCTTGTTCTGCCTTTTCTGGCATGACAGAGTAAGGCTGTGGAGGTGAGTAGATCCAATAAAGGCTTGCTCACATCTCTGCAGGTGATCCTAATTTAATTTTGTATCTGTCCTTTGTTGTCTGACTTGATGGAAATCAAGGCTGAGATTGGTTTTACAGCTTTTTCCTCCCCTATTCTGCAGGTTTGTTGCACTTTAAAAAGTAAAGTATTGTCAAAGGGCTTGAAGCAGATATTGGATTCTTGCAGTTTGGATCAGGCAGATGGATTCAGGAGTTCCAGGACAATGCCAGAACCTCTCTTCCTGGTTGAGTTGTAGCTGTTCCAGACCCTGAGTTAGAGAAGAGGTGGATTTTTAAAGAGCTGCTGAGTGTGAAGCTACACAATTCATGGTGATAGTGCCCTCTGCACACTGAGCCTGGGCCCAGATTGGCACAAGGTTGGGTATATATATATGTGTGTGTGTGTGTGTATTACATAGATATAATACGTATATTCAAATGTATTAACTGGTAGCTAATCCAACAGCAAATTCGACTGAAGTTTATCAAATCTCACAGTATGTGCTGATGGTTTCTAATGGATTTAAGAACTAGGTGGACTTTAGAGATCTGCAGTTGTGTCCCACTTTGCCTGTCCTCCAGAGTTCCTCCCCTGACAAGGATTTATTAGAGGATGTGAACTCTGATGGGTGTTTGTGGTGCAAGGTGCCATTAATCACAGGGACACAGCTCTTAGTGTGGATTATCTCCCCCTGATGGGAGAGTGTGATCAGCTGAAAAGACAGATCCATCTGCACTCATTCCCAGGGAATGGAATGACTTTATTAACCTTCATATTTATAAACTTCCAGCATGAGTAATAGCAATAATAATATCCTGATTCCTTGTTTTGATGGCTTTGGAAGCAATCAAATGAGCATATTTTGTTGACACAATTTTGAGATTAATGCTCATGTTTTCTAAAACAAGAAGAGTAATGATGCTGACAGGTTCATTTGCAATGTAAAGATGGGGGGTGGGGATTGGAACACCAAGAGTTTCCAGGATCCAAAATCTGTGCAGAGTGTATTCAGGAAGTTTGTGTTCCTCTGTATCCATTTGCCACAGGGGAGCTTTCCTGGTCATCTTTGGCACTGTTCTCTAAAAAGTCACCCTGTGTTGGCCATGTGCCACCACTGGCATTGTAAATCCCACTCCTTCCAAGGCTTCCTAAGAGCCCTTGGAGTCTGGTGCTGCTGGGGGAGTCCAAAGCTTGCAAGCCCTGTGTGGAAAAACTCTTAAGGAAGCTGAATTTGATGGAATGGGGCAGTGGGCAATGAGGTATTCAGGACCCATGGTTTGCAGATCAAGGGTCATGTGCAACTTTGTGCTGCAGGTAAAAGCTTGTTAGAATAGGGAAGAATGGTATTTTAACCAAATGGAACAAAATTTGGGTATGTACCTGTCAGTTAAAACTGATGTGGATCTCTCCAAAACCTTCAGCTTTTAATGGGTGAAGGATTCCGTTATGAAAAATGTGCCCTTATCTGCAGCAGCTGTTTCTGGGCTAGACTTTGACCTGTGCTACTCAGGCTCAGAATTCAGTGTGAGCCTACATTTTAAAATAAGCTTTAAGAAATGTAATTTAACTTCTTGGGATCTACTTCTATCATTAACAGTAGGATTTGCCACAGGGGCACTTCATCCTTCTCCTTTCCTGTGTTCAAATCTTTATTCTCCAAATCCTGACAATTGGAAAGAATTACAATTGCTAAACAACATTACAAGAAATCTTGAGGCTTTTCTAAGTAAGGCTTATGAGTGATGAAAGTAGAAAAAAAAAAACCCAAAATAATTTTAATGTAACCTCTGGCTGGATTTTCAGTCCCTGACATGATGTGGCAGTGGCTTCCTTGCTAAAGGCATTTGAGAGCTCTTGCTGTTCATTTGCAGCCTTTTCCCAAGCACATCCTTTGGTGGAGATGGTCAGGAMTGACCCTGTAGCAGCCCAGCCTCCCTGCTTGCTATTTCTCAGCAACTTTGTGCTCCATTTCTCAGGTGGTCTTTTTTCCTGTGCATTTTTTAAGTTTTCTGCCTGTCTAATAGTGCAGTTGATCAGAATTCCATGAATTCTATGAATCAGTGCAGCAGAGCCCCTCTGCTCTGGAGCCAGGCTGGGAGAGCTGGGGGGGTGCTCACATGGGGAAGGGAAGGATCCAGGGAGAGCTCAGAACTCCTTTCAGGACCTAAAGGGGCTCCAGGAGAGCTGGAGAGGGACTGGGGACAAGGGCTGGAGGGACAGGACACAGGCAATGGCTTCCCACTGCCAGAGGACAAGGATAGATGGGATATTGGGAAGGAATTATTCCATGGGTGGGTAGTGGGAGGCTGGGATGGAATTCCCAGAGCAGCTGTGGCTGCCCCTGGATCCCTGGCAGTGCCCAAGGCCAGGCTGGACATTGGGGCTGGGAGCAGCCTGGGACAGTGGAAGGTGTCCCTGCTCATGGCAGGGGTGGCACTGGGTGGGCTTTAATGCCCCATTCAACCCAAACCATTCTGGGATTGTTCTGTAGTTTTTTGACCACTGGGAAAATTGCTGAAAGGAAATGTTCTGTTCTTCCTGAACTCCAAGGAAAAGAAAGAAATGGAGTGCAGAGGTCTTTTACAGAGCCATTTGAAAAATAAATCTGCAAAAGATGCCAAGAGTGTGGAAGGATGTGTGCTGCGTGCTCTGTGTGTGAGCGAGCA